ACATATAATGTAGGTGTGGTTTTGAAAATCACCAAGTATGGCCTGACACAATACCAATACCAACGGCGGTAACAACAATGGCTAACAGTTTACTGAGCCCCTTCTATGCACCAAGCACTGTCCTAAGCATTTTATAGGTATCAATGTACTTAATCCTTATATTAATCCCATGAAATAAGGACTACTGTCACTCCCATTCCACAGATGCAGAAACAAAAACACAGAAAGGTTAAGTGATTTGCCCACATCCAGAGCTCCCTGTTAGTCCGCCACTCTGACATCTACCCACACGTTGGTCATCTACCAGTTCTTCCATAATACAACACACTTCTATCATTTGGTCTCATCTTCTCTCAATGCTTGGAAATTGGGTTCTGCTTTTAAAAGGCAAAAATAAAGATTTACAACTTTCTATCACAGCCCATCCTAAATCTTGAGCATAATTAATTTTTTAAAGAGTGCTATGTCTCTATTATTCCACAGGGAAGGGTATTAAAGTTTGAATCTATAATTCTTTAAAGATAACCTCTATTACAAGTATCATTGGAGTGTGTGCTTACCAGGTCTTCCCACATATACATTAAATCCTTAGTTCCAAGTTAATTTTCACTGCCTAACTGATAAAATATTATCTGAGCATGTACTAAAGAATGAATTTCTGCAGCTTAGTGAGATAAGTCATTCATACTCTAACAAGGATATTTTAAACAGCTGGTTATTCCTTCAGGAAAACCATATTCAGATCAAACTAATTTCCTAAATGACATAAAAGGAATGAGCAGCTCTGAGGTGTCTTATGTAACTCACTGAGTGCTGATGGCTTGGGACTAGATGATGGAATGACAGAGGAAAGGGAAGCTGAATCTTTGACATGCTAAAAAAAATCACAGTAAATATCACCTGCCAGGTATTCAAATAATTAAAGGGCTTATTTTTTCCATATTCCTATTGTGATAGGTTTCATAAACAAATAATTTTACATACACTATCCTGTTAAGCACCAGTAATTAGTTGAGAAAAACAAACACAAATGTACTTGAAGAGAGAGCACACCCTGAGGGAATTTAGCCCTCTGAAATTATGCTAAGTGTCTACTGAAATCGCCCTGGGAGACTTCTATCCTAAATAAAACCGCCCTCCAAGTTTTTTCCTGTTTCCTGTCACACATAATATCTATCATAGCTAACAGGAGTATTTACTGACACTGGTGGACATGGCAATGGATACACTATCTGGAATATTTGGGGTTTTCAGGGAGGGACTGGGTCTATAAATACCTGTGAATGGAAAGGGCACTGTACCGGCAGACAGTAACTTTGTCACTAAGTTGTTACGAGATTTTTTTATCGTCACCTTACCTCTTTGAACTTTAGCTTCCCAGTCTGTCAAACACAGAAATGAAAATTACATGATCTCCAAGGCCCATTCTAACAACTCCCAAGTTCCACAATTCTAAGATGCCTTTGAACACTTTTACATGAAGAAGATTCTAACATTGAATCCCATAAAAATATGTAGGAACCAGTGATCTGGGAATAGGATATTTTTTGTTATCTCCCAATAGATGTTCCATTACTGTTAAACTAGTTTCTCTCTTACACTCCATCAGCCATCATGGCTCCAAGGAAGGGAACAGAGTAGATACCATCACAAGAATGAAGAGGATATGGTACATAAGGAAAGCTCCTGACATTTAAGGAGAAAAATTCTTCTCTTGTAGCCCTAAGGGATGATGGAAAAAAGGCAGGGGTACAAGGAAGAAGTAACCAGATACACCATGCTTACTTTCCACCCCTTTTCAGGGTAGAAACTACGATTGGAGGTATATAGTTGAAGGCATAGAGTTCATTAAAATTTGGGGAGATCCAAGTAAACTGGGGATACTGGTTTGCTTCCCTGGGCAGGACTGTGAAGGCTAAGACCTCTACAAACTCAACTTTCAGCTTGATGGCATGTTCAATATGACGTAGGGAGAATAATGCAACCTTAGTGGTGGGAGATGGCTCAATAGATAAGCCTGAAGCAAGGCTCCTGGCTCATCAAGGCCTACAAATGGTATTCAGGGAATCCGGAAGTTCCCATATATGTCAGTGAGAAGAGGGTGGCGTTGTGAGAAGCAATGGACCTGCAGGGACCTGGGGTCAGTCAGTGTTGAGGTTGTAGTACATAGGGCAAATGATTCATGGATGTACTTCGGCAAAGATATCAGCATGATAGCTCAAAAAAACTAGAAATGACCAATTTTACCTCTATCAGTCCTGCTTTCAGACCATAGCAGCCACTCCGTACCAGTGGATAACAAAGGATTGGCACACATGGCTTCCCTGATGCCATGTAGGCCTTCACATCCCTCACAGCTGCTACCAAACCACTAGTCACTGTGTAAATTAGAAAAAGACACTCCCTTTCTCAAGACACATTACTTCTATCAGAAAATTGTCATAGTATACTGGTTTTGTTAGAACAAGTCATCTTACTGTACATGGCAGAGAACTGTCTTATAAATTTAGAACTCTAGGATGCCAAAAAAGTGAAAGACATTCCATCTATACCTTGGGCCCTCATACATATCTTGGAATGAGAGGGGGGTTGGGAAATAAAATCTTAAAGACAGCTCATTTTTATGAAAAAGAAGCCGGGGGTGGGGTGGGGGGGTAGACACCTGGGTGGCTCAGTTGGTTGAGCATCTGACTCGTGATTTTGAGTCCTGCATTAGGCTCTGCACTGAGTGTGGAGACTGCTTAAGGTTCTCTCTCTCTCCCCCCTCTCCCTCCTTCTCTCACTCTGTCAAATTAAGAGGAAAAAAAAACGAGAGAGAGAGAGAGAGAGAGAGAGAGATAATGTGGGAACTGAAAAAGGTTAACATTACAGAAAATAAACAAGCTGCAATTTCTTTGTACATTAAGTAAAGTAAATTAAGTAAAGTAAATGTAAGTAAATCTTTGGCTATGCCATGCCAAATTACAAACTCTTTATGCCCAAGATTTTGCCTTTTATTTTTATTTTTGGTATTTCCCATAGCACCTTACAAAGTAATGCAGGAAGGATAGAGGGAACCAATAAGTGTTTGTGGAATAAAAAAGTAAATTTTTAGAAAAGTCAGAATTATGGATCCACTTATATGTATAATAGTAAATAATTTTCCTTCCCCCATCCCTATATTTATTTGAACCAAATCTAAAATTTTACCCATTGGCACCTAGCTAACAATCATGAAAGCCTTGGGTTCTTCAGCTGTTTTCTAAAAGCCCCCTCCTCAAATCTTGGAGAAGGAAACTTAGACCTAAATTTCAACATTTTCAGGACCAAAGAGAAATCATCTCAAAATTACAGAATTTTTGAAAATTGAAAACGGGATTATGTAGTTCAAAATAAGTTCTTATTAAGGTGCGGGACCCTCATTATTTAGAAAGGTAATTTGCCAAAAGTCACATAATTAAATCGGGGACTCAAACACCCTGCACCTCTCTTCTTGCCCCTCTCTCCACTCTCTCCCTCAAGTACATACTTTTCTTCCTCTCAGCCTTACTTTATCACCCTCTGTAACCGCTTAATTACCTATCTCAAACCTAGACAGCAACTGATCAAACTCAAATAAGAAATCACCCAAAGATCTGCAAACCAGAGAATCAGGTAAACTGCCAGTTTTACCACATCCATAAAATGATAACAAAAAAGGAGAGCGCAGAGAATTGAGAAAGGGCACTTTTTCTATCATCACAACAAACGCTAGGGAATAAAAACGCGTTTTCCCTGGGGACAGATTATGCTGAGGGGACCAGATACAGATACCAAAGATAACTCCTCTTGAGGTTTTTTTCTTTTCCTTTGAATTTGTGGGATCTAAAAAAAAAAAAAAATTAAATGACATAATGACATAAACGATCATAACCTCAGCACATTTACTTCTCTCCTTTTTCTCACATAGGATTTTCTTGAACATAGACCACGTTTCCAAAAACTACATTGACCAAGGTCTATTGCCTGTTTACCAAATTCTCTTCAAGATTTAGGTGACTCCTCTTAGATTAGGAAACTACTCCAAACTTCGGTTACAGGCTGAAAGCTCGGTAAATTGGATCTCCAAGGTTTGCAAATACCCTCAGCTGGGCTAAAGGGCACAGAATCTCTAGCGCTCCCTACAGCTCACACTTTGAACCTACCTACCACAGAAAACGCGAGTTACCAAGGATCGGCTCCCTAGCTCCACTTTTTTTTTTCCTGCTTAAAAAATTGGGTAAAGGTGGTGGTGGGGCGGGAGGAGGACTAAAAAGGCGAACCAAAGGATTAATCACTTCTCCCCATTACATCAGCAGCCCCCGCCCTTTCCTCGGAGCACCTCCTCTCCTAGAATCGCGCTACGCACCAGCGCTCTCTTCGCCCACCCCCCTCTCTATTATATGCCCTGATACCTCCCCATTATCACCCGCCCCACCACACTCCCCTTCCCTCCTCCCCCCTCCTTGGCCAGGCAGGGAGGAAACCCGAGAGAGGAAACAGGGCGTTGAAGGAAGGGACTTCGCCATAAGAGCAGAGACCCCATTGGCCGGAAGGTTGTATGGGCGCCTCCCATTGGCTGCTCGACCGAAATCCCCGCCCCTTCTGCTTCCCCGCCCATTCACCCCTCCCCCTGCCGCCCCGCGGCCCTCCCCCGCGCCCCTGGCCAGCCCCGCGGTGGGGAGGGACCCACTGGGCGAGTGGAGGCTCCGGCGGTGTCAATGGCTCCTCCTGCCACGGAGCAGCAGCAGAAGCAGCGGCGACGGGGCTGAGGAGGAGGAGGAGGAGGAGGAGGAGAGGTTCCTTTAAGGAGGAGGAACGACGACGCCTCTTTTTCCCTCTATCTCCTCCCTTCACACTCATTTCCCCTTCGCCGAGGAGAGAAGGGGGGGAGGAGAGAGAAGAGGCCGAAGAAAGAGAAAAAATTCCTCACAGAAATCTCTTTCAGGGGGTGTGGGGGGAGGAAGAGGGAAAAAAAAGAGCTGGGCGCCCCCTGCTCCCTCCCTCCCTTCTCCTCCTTCTCCCTTCCTTGCCCGCCCGCCCACTCCCCCCGCCGCCTGAGACGCCGCTCGGGAGTCGGCGGGACCGGAGTCTGTCTCCTCACCCGCCGACGCCGCGCTTCGCCTCGGGATCCCCAGGCGGGCGGACGCCCTTTCTTTCTTTCTCTCTCTCTCCCTCTCCCCCTCTCGCTCTGCCCGTCTTTCTGTCTCCGTCCCTCGCGGCCGCCCCGCCCGGCGGCCTCGGCCTTCCCCGTGCGTCAGGCCCTCCCGCCCGGCCTCGCTCGGTCTCTGTCTGTCTCCGCCGGCCTTTCTCTTGACTCGGGGTCTCGCTCGCCCCCTCCGCCCTTCCCATCTCCCCTTCCCCTCGCCCCCTTTCCTTCCTCCCCCTCCCCACCCCCTTCTCCTGCCCCGAAGCTCGCAGTGCGTGTGTGTGTGTGTGTGTGTGTGTGTGTCCCTCCGCCAACGCCGCCACCACAGCCCGGCAAATGAACTCCGTCCGAGCCGCCAACCGGAGACCCAGGCGAGTGTCGCGGCCGCGCCCGGTGCAGCAACAGCAGCAGCAGCCCCCGCAGCAGCCGCCGCCGCAGCCGCCCCAGCAGCAGCCGCAGCAGCAGCCTCCGCCGCCGCCGCAGCAGCAGCAGCCTCCGCCGCCGCCACCGCCGCCTCCGCCGCTGCCCCAGGAGCGGAACAACGCCGGCGAGCGGGGTAAGGCCGCGCTCCTTCCCCGCCGCCCGCCGGCTCGGGCGCCGGCCGGCCGGGACCCGCGGGGAGGGAAGCCGGGGCGGGCGGGCGAGGCCTGTGCGCCCCCGGGGTGGGAGACGGAGGCTGTGCGGAGGCGGGTCCCCCGGTGCCGCAGTGTCAGCCCGGCCCGGGCCCCGGACGGCAGGAAAAACCGCGGCTTCCCCACTCGCCCGAGCTCTCGCTCAGGCCGCGCTTTGTTTGGTTGCGGGGGCTCGGCACCCTCTACCCCCACCCATCCTTTGGCTCCTCCGCTGGCTCACGGACCCCGCAGGAGTCTGTTGGTGGCTGGGGTGGGGGGAGGCAAAGGGTGGGATTTCCCCTTTTTCTGCTGCCTTCCACGGTGTAGCCTCCCCCTTCCTAACAGAAGCGGGGGGGACGACTGGGAGTGATCGGGCGGTGGGGCTGGCTGGGGAACTTGTTTTCCCCCTTTTCTCTGTTAGCCTCCCCCTTCCTGTGGAGGAGGGGGAAGGGGGGAATCCGAGTGGTCTGTGGTGTTGGCTGGGGAACTTGTTCCCCCCACCCCCCTCCCTAGTCACGGGGTAGGGGGAGCAGCGACTACTCTCCCAACCCCATAATGTTTGCTGCGCAGTTTGGCTTCAGTTACAGAACCCCTGGGAAGGACCCGTTAAATCAAGACCTTTAAATAAATAAATATAGAATCTATCGGCCATTTCCAGCCCCCTCCCTCGCGTCAGTGCAGTTACCCTTCGGTTCTATCGACCACCCCTCTCGCCTGTCCTCCCCTAGCGAACCCCTACGCCACCGTGCTACCCTCCCGTCTCCTAGTGGGGTTTGAACGCCCCTTCCTTGGAACTGGCCCCTTGGGAGAGAGTGAGTGTGTGTGCTGTGTCCAAGGCCTAGTGAAATGTGTCATTTGGACCCAACTGTGCAGCTCTGTCTGGTAACCACCATTGTCTAAGGGCTGGAGCTCCCGGGGGTTGGATTCTTGCTTTAACAAAAATAATGTTCAGTTCTACTTTGATGATGTGGTTATTTTGGGAGGTATATGAGGTAGGATGTAGCACCTTGGTCTCCAAACGTAACTCTTCTCTTTATTAATTAGCTGCTCTCAGTGGGGGTGGAGGTCAGTACCATATTTATGTGTACGGTTGTTGTTTTAAGGAGGAGGGGAATTGTTAGGAGACATTTTGCGTGTTTTCGTTGGTGGATTAAGGTTAATTTTACATGCGTTGGTTGTCACACCTCCTTTGATTAAGGGAATTGAGATTAAATGCCTTTTAAAAAGTATACATTCCTTCCTTAAAAACTGTTTCAATGTTGTCCTTAACTAAAATACTTAAATGACAAAGAGAGATGATAATCGGAAAAATAGTTCAAAGGGTTTTCACTAGTCACTGTTACAGATAGTCCTTGAGAAAGCAGTTTGCTATATGTTGCTTGAAAGAATGTGATGTTTCAAGCCAGTTAGAAGTCTTGTGCAACATTATTGGTAGATCTGTTTTGATGATTCTTTGATACATTCATCATTTTTCTGTAAATTAATATTTGTAGTTTCATCATTTCCTTTCGCATTTGCATATCAGGGTTTTCCTGTGTTCCATTCAAATAATAGTCAAGTCCCCTTCCACTATATATTGTGGAGTTCACAAGTCCTTTTTGAGACAACAATGACACTAGGTTGAAATCCTAGCAAAGTAAGGATTTAATTGCTGGAAGTAAGGATTTTTAAGATGTACTGATTTGTTCATACCATTGGGGCAGAATCAAATCTGTTTGGCCAAACTTAATTTAGTCCCATTGGGTTATTTAAAAATATTTGTTCTGAATCTCGGTTTCATGATGTGTGTGATTTCAGACTTAGTTGAGGTACTTTTAACTTGGATACTTTTTTTTAACATTTGTTTGAATTATTAGCCACTGAAGTCTATTTCCTTTTGAAGTAAAATGACTTGGTTGTTGGCATTCACATACCAAGAGTGTGAGTTTCCTTTTCATTCATGTCCGTAAGCTGACTGACAAAGATGTTCAAGAAATCAAAATTTCAGTATATACCTAACCAAATAGTAAATCAAATGCACTGTAGAGTTGCTGCTTTGCTGTAGCTAGTAGAAACTGTTCTGGAGATTCTATGTTGGCACAGAGGGGGAAAGAACTTGCTGATTAGCCTTCAGGGAAAATGCTGTGTGTCTTTTAGAGGGCAAATAAATGGCTTTAAAATGAATAAAACATTAAGATAACTTAAAAGACTAAAATAGTAAAGATTTTGCCAGTTTTATGTAAAATCCGTCTTTCTACAAAAATTGGCAATTGGATTACTTTTTAAAAACGTACAGTTCACATGATCAGAAGTTAGTCAAAGGAATACTCTTTATTTTAAAAGTTTCATGGGAGCGCCTGGGTGGCTCAGTTGTTTAAGTGTCCGGCTTCGGTTCAGGTCATGATCTTGCGGTTTGTGGGTCCGAGCCCTACATTGGGTTCTGTGCTGACAGCTCAGAGCCTGAAACCTGTTTCAGATTCTACGTCTCCCTCTCTCTCTGCCCCTCCCCCGCTCATGCTCTGTCTCAAAAATAAATAAACTATAAAAAATTGTTTTTAAAAGTTTCATGGAGCATGGGAAGTGTCACTATTTTTGGTTTGGATAGGAGAGGTTTTGTTGTTTAAGAATATAATGGGTATCATAATTTTGACAAAGTGATTAAGGAACTACTTAACTGTTTCACTTTTTACTAACTCTTAATGGATATGTAACTCTTGCATGAGAGTTTGGATAGAGTTACATAATAATGGATCAGACAGCTTTGCAGGTCAGAAATTGAAGTCACTCACTGGTTGTAAGACAAATTATTCATTCTATATAAAAAAATCATTTATTTCATATAAAGAATGGACTTTGACTTTTTATTGGTAATAGAATAGTTACGATATAGTTTTTTTTTCCAAGCAAAAATTTTGTCAGGGCTGGATTTTCATTACTTCTTCATCCACAAGATAATTGGTCTAAATTATCTTGATACATTCCTTGTTACATCCTTAAACACACACACATAAAACATGCTTTCTCTTATATGTCATGGCCAGTGTTTGAAGAGGAAAGAAACAGTCTAATAGAGTGAATTCTTAGGAGGACTTTCCAAAGCCTTCCATTGGGGACAATTACTTATACCCCACATTGGGAAATATTTGGCCTGAGTGTTTCATGGAATGCTGTCTTCACTCATGTTATCTGAAGTGGCCCACTGTCTTAAGATGGAATACTAATCACTAGCTGGTTTTGGTCTTTTAGTTTATGTTCCAGAGTTGAGGATTTCACATACTATCTTTAAACTAGTAGAAAATAATTTGTGTGCCACATAGGGACACTTTGATAATACATTCCAGATTCAGTGAATCTGGAATTAGTGTGGGGTTAGATTTTTTTATATTTGTTTTCTTTTAAAATCCTGAAAGGATTTGGCTTTTGTAACTTGTTCTGCTGATTTATCTTAATACCTTTTTCATAGTCTTTTTTCTAGAAGTATGAGGTAAGGTTACAAGTCTGCAGAAGTGCTATGTATTCTGAGCACTTTCAGTTTGTAGTTAAAATTGATTACTTTGAATAGGTAATAAATACACATGATTTAAATTAAAAAGTTTCTTGTCTGTAACTGCTTTCAGCTACCAGATTCTCCTATTTCAGTCACATTATTAGTTTCTCATTTATTATGTTTTAATAAAATCATAAAAGAGATGAAACTTGACAACTGAACAGCTTGTTAGGGAAGTATTTTGAAATAGGTGTAATTTTTTTCTGGTTGGAAAATTCATAAAATTCTTTTCAAGTGCTGAAATTTTAACTACATTATCATTGATAGTTCAAGAAATTTAATTAATATAATAATGGGTATTGCTATTAATTTTTAGTCTGAAATAATCATAGAGCATAAAAACATAGTCTTTTTAATTCCATATTTGTGGGATAAAAATCTCACCTGTGACCCTGGAGTTACAGTTTTGTTTTAACTAAACATGTTGAAATAATGCAATACATACAGTATTACATGAGATATTCCTGATGGAGCTGCAACATATTTATAATATGCAGCAGCCAGGAAACTCCTAGTGTTCTAGTCATGCATACTAATCATACCTTCTGTGGGCTTGTTCTAGCTCATGATATTTTACCTTCAAATTCTTCAGAATAAGGAACTTACAGAATGCAAGAAGGAGGAACTTCTGCCACTTTTTTTGACAGGAGAGTTCTGGACAAGGAACATGATTTTTCCTGTCTTAGGAATTAAGTACTTTGGGGCACTAGTCTCCCATCTGGTGGTCAAACCTTCAAAATATTTACATCCATGAAAGGAGAGATGCCACCCAGTTCTTTTGTTGGGAGTAAGGGGGGGTTGGAGAAGAGCCTGTTTTCTCAAAGCTTACAAATTGTTTGAGGGATAGAAATGAGACAGTAGGGGGTGCCTGGGTGGCTCAGTTGTTTAAGCGCCCGACTTTGGCTCAGGTCAGATCTCAAGTTTGGTGGTTTCGAGCCCCGCATCAGGCTCTGTGCTGTGCTGACAGCTCAGAGCCTGGAGCCTGTTTTGGATTCTGTGTCTCCCTCTCTCTCTGCCCCTCCCCCACTCGTGCTCTGTCTCAAAAATAAACTATTAAAAAAAAAAGAAATGATATAGTGGGGCATCTGGGTGGCTCTATCATTAACTCAGTTAATGATAGAGTTTGACTCAGTTTCCTTTCAGGTCATGATCTCACAGTTCATGAGATTGAGCCCTGTGTCAGGCTCTGTGCTGACAGCATGGAACCTGCTTGGGATTCTCTCTCTCCCTCTTTTTCTGCTCTTCCCCCACTCATGCTCTCTTGCTCTTGCTCTCAATATGGATAAACAAACATTAAAGAAAAAATGAGATAGTGACAATGCTGATGTTAAATTAAGTTCCACTGGTGAGGCCTATGGGTTGTCACTATACTGCTTTTCTCTTTCTTTACTGGAAATTCTGGCAAAACCAAGGACAGGC